CCCTTGCCCCGGCGGAGCGGGGGGGCGGCTTTGCAAGGCCCGGCCTCCCCGGGCGGGAGCGGGGGGGGAGCCGCCAGGGCGGCCCCGCGGAGCGGGAGAGCGGGAGTTAATGAGTGTTCAGCGCCCACGCAGCCGGGCTGAGGCCTCATCCTTCCCTCCCTCACACGGAGGGGCTGGAGCGAGGGCTGCGGAGCAGGGAAGAGCTCCGGGGAGGGGATGGTGGCTTGCTCAGCGCCGGTAATTTATGTGCTAGTAAGTGGGGATCCGCCAGCTTGCAGGTGCCCAGGTCGGTGGGAAAAACACCAGTGGCAAAACACCACTGACCGCCCCGTAAACGGCAGCAGAACAAAAAAAGGGGCAACTTCAAACCAGGGTCCGAAGGAATTCACGGAATTTTAATATTCCATTAATACGTGCCGGTGCTCTTGTGGTACCGCACGCTGGTTTGCGCAAACACACTTTTACAGTGTTCCATAAAAAAATGCAGAATCGTTACTTCGGCTGAAGTTTTGTTTTGTGGTTTGCTTTTTTTCTTTTTTTAGTTGGGAGGGTTTGGTGAGGTTTTAGGTTTTTGCATTACCTGCCATAGCATGTGACAAGCAAAGTGGAATTGCTTAATCAAAAGAAGGCTCACCTAAAATAGGCTTTCATTCTGCAATCAAGGCAGTATCTCAGCAGAGCCTTAATGAAGTCAAATAGGTTTTGCATGCCCAGGATCTTAAACTGTGTTAACAGTACAAATACTTAATTTGAAATGCCCTTTAAACTATAAAATATTACTAAATTTTGTCATCTAGTGAACATTTTAAATATTCCTAGTGATTTCTCAAATCCCTGACTCCCATAGGTTTATACTGGTAAGATTTCTAGTTATTGTTGCAAAGAAAAACCTTCAAAACATTAATCCTGAAGACTCTCAACCTACGCTGCCAACAAACATTCTAATATACTGACTTTTAAACCAATCTTACTCTATCATATCATCTTTGAATATTCTGTACTGAGAGTATCTGTATTAGAAATGTGATCACAAAATCTTTAAATAAGACAGAGTTTAACTTGAAGTTGTCTGAAAAATATTTACAATGTGGGAATCTCTTCAAATGCATAGTGTTCTTGGCCTGCATTTTAGTGTCTAATCCTGCAAATTTATCTGAATAGTTTGCAATCAGGAGGCATCCCAATGAAGTCAGTGGAAGTACCAGTCCATTTAAAATAAAGGTACGTAGAATTGTCACCCAGTTTGTAGTTTGTCTTCTTTAAATCAGATGGCCACCAGGTAGTGGTGGAATTTCCCTGACCCTGAGAAGTTCATGCTGGATGGACCTGTCCTGAACAAAGGTCTCACTTAACCAAGAAGAGGCTGTGAAAGGAAACAAAGCTTTTAAAATGTTACCAAGAACTGTTTTGTTAGTGTAACTCTTACCAGACAACAAACAAAGGATCAAATAACACATAGAGGTTGCTTTTCCATTAATGCAGAGTGGCTGGTGAGCCAGGGAGGAGAGGCTTGCTCTGCCCTTTTACTTCCTGCTCATTCCCTATAAAAAAGTAACAAATATGGAGGCCAAGGCTTGAAATGCTGCAATTTTCAAAATATAACTACTCACAAAAATGAAGAGAAACTAAAGTCAGTTCTGAAGAAAGCCATAGGAATGACAAATGACTTCAGAAAAAGACATCACTGGATTTTTTTTAATTTTAAAGGAGGTATTGGTTAGTAGAAGGGAAACAACCGTTTATAAATAAATAAAGCAATCTTATGAGGATGTAAGAATCAATTACATTCTTCCACAATCAGATCAGAAGAACAGTCCCGAATAGCAAGAAATCCTTTGCTTTAAATAGCACAGAAATGTTGGGGCCGGAATAACCACCCTCGTGTTATCAGATCTCCTTAAATTAGGAACAAGGGTGCAGACAATAGGGTAGGAAAATCCACTCAAGGACAGAATGAGAATGTTAATGTTGCTACTTTCAGTCTTCATGTTTTCCTAGAGAAAACAGGGAAGTTTGGAGAATCATTGCCTTACCCTGTCACTCTGTTGCCCATCCTTGCAAGCAAGGCAGTGTTCTCTCAAATTTACTTGTTTGTGTATGGAAAATGTGCATTGCTGCTGTTCCTTCTGCATTAAAGTTCATGCTTACAGATACTACCATAGCCTCTAAAATTCTGTCTTGAAAGCAAACAAGGTTTAGCTGTGCAGTTATCAGTGAAGTTACATTCATGTCCTAGTGATGTTTTAGCACTGACAAATCCAGAATTTCCAGAGGGGATGGACAAAATGCCGTTTATAATTGAAATGTCACCACTGCAGATTAACAGCTTGAGGCAGAGCACAGATTAATCACTCAAGACACATAGAGCAGGGTAAAGGGAAAAGCGAGTTTATTCCCCTTTTCCTATTAACTAGTTTCTGACCTGATGGAGAAGCAATACTAACATGCTCTGCTAGGCCCTTGGCTGTTTTGATAAGTTATAACTACTATGCCAATTAATGCTTTTTTTTCCTTCCCTCACTGTCAACTTCAACTGCAAATTCATTTCAATTCATTGCAAAACACAAATTATTTTAACTGCATTCCATTTTCCTACATACTGAGGTTTTTCACTTTTTAGTCTCACTTCGAGTATCAAAGTCTGCCTCTGATCTCAGTTACACCCTGATATGAACTTAGATTTAACTGCATTCTTCAGCTTTACACAAGTGAACTCCTTTGAAAACAGTGACAGCCTAACTACCATGCTTCATTATCATCACATCATCTTAGACATGCCAACAAGCTAGAGAACAGATAGACCAGACCTTTGATGTAAGTTAGGATTACTATATTGACAGCAGTCCAGCTATCCTGATTTATACTGGCTACATAATTTAATGGGATGTGGAAGTACTCACACCTTCACAGGAAGTAACAGAACTCCATCGGCAACTACAAAGCTAGCAATCCTTTTGCTGCCAGCAGTAGATTTTGGGCATCTAACTAGTTATTTTAAGTAGCAGGGCAGCCAAATATTTCTAAGCCCCAAACAGGTATTTCACATTCATACATCAGCATAGGTTGGCATAGCAGAAACAATGGGTCAGCTAAGAGTCGCCGTGCATACAGACATCAGCCGTGCACATGCAATACAACCGCAGCAGCCCATGTTAGACCTAGCACTGTTAGGCCTGCTGGCACAATTATCCTCTTCCCAATAAGAAATCTTGTGGCTCTTTAATTAGCCTCAGAAACATTAAACATAGTAAGCTGGGTCAGATAAATGCCAACCTATTTGCC